GTCGATTTTCAGGCCTTTAAGCAATTGACTGAGCAAACTTCCTCTGCAAGGCTTGAAAATTGACATGGATGATCTTGGGAACATATTAGGACAATGGTGAGTATTTGGGATCCTTTGTACTCAAACATCTTGGTGCAAACTGAAACCCTAATTTGAGGTAGACTGCCTTAGGAGAGAGTTTGTCTGGTTAACCCTTAGACTTCCTTGAGCAATTTGAGGATCTCACTTGAAATGTATTGAGAAATATGGGAGAGAAAATTTTGGGGTACAACATAGGGATATGCATATATGAGGGTTTTTAGAAATTAAGGGCATGTGAGAATCATTAAAGTGATATTATATCATTTATTATGTTTCCAACAAATTAATTATCTTAAGCAATCATTTCAAGATTATCTCAAATACTCTCCCACACGCTACGACATTACTTCTTTCTATTTTCACAACCTCTTCGTTCTTATTTACAAAAAAATAACCCTTGTTATTTTTCACCTCACTGTTTAAAAATATTCAAAGATGTCGTAACATCATGCTTCGTCTCCCTCAAAGTGCTCTTATGATGAAGCCAAGGCTTATAGGTCAAAGTCTGTCAACCATCCTGAGGATCTCTCCCTTGATAAAGTCCTGGTCGTCACTCTTCTGACAATTGTTCCACCTCTTGAGAAGAAGTTCAAGAAATCCAGATCGTCCCATGCAAAGAAATTCAAAGACAAGTTTGACACTTCTAAAGGTAATGATCCTAATACTAGTGATGATAGGTCAGAAGAAGACACTGTTAATGTTGATAGGAGTATTAGAAGGCTGATATATAGGGTGTTAAATGAGGGTTTTGTTGTGCCTGGGATTTCTATTCCTCTTGCCGGAATGCCTGCTCAGGATGACAAAGGTACTGATCCTCAAAATATTGTTGAATCCTCTATCTTTAAGAAAGATGTTGCTGAAAGTAAACTTGGCAAGTTTGCTACATCTGTTCTAGAAGAAGTGGAAGCTGGTGTTGAACAACATGTTGAGACATCATCTTCTGAGAAGGACTTTTCTGCTAAGGAAGATGTTGCTGGCTCCAAAACTGAAAAGAATCCAAATGATGAGAATGTGGTGAATGTCAATGAGCTGTGTGATAATGACCTTATTTCCAATGTGGTGCCTGGAATTGCTAAAAGGCTCAAGTCTAGAAAAGGGAAGGTTGTGGATGTCACATCCCCTGCCAAGAGTATCAAGAAGAATACTATGTATGGTCCCCCAAAGCCCTGGAGTAAAGTGGTTCCTTCCTTCAACAAAAGAAAAGTTAGACCTGATAGCTCCTCAGATGATGATGAAGATAATGTACAAAACATCTCACCTATGAAGAGATCTAAAGGTAAGAAGAAAGCTGCAATAGTAGAAGATGTTGACTCTGGTTATGATGTCGAGGATGATGTCCAGGACATCTCTCCTATGAAGAAGTCTGTAAGCAAGAAGCTTTATGTCAGGGTGCCTGATGCTCCTCTTGACAACATTTCCTTCCATTCTGTTGGCAATGCTGAAAAATGGAAATATGTCTTCCAAATAAGGATTTCTATTGAAAGAGAGTTGGGAGCAGGTGCACTGGAGTGCAAAGAGATTATGGAGCAGATTTCCTTTGCTGGCTTAATAAATACTGTCACCAGGTTTGCAAAATGTTATGAGACTCTTATTAAGGAATTTATTGTTAATATTCCTATAGATTATGCTGATCATAGAAGTAAGGAATATAGGAAGGTGTTTGTTAGAGGTAGATGTGTTGAATTTCCCCCGCTGTCATCAATAGATATTTGGGCAGGTCTGAAGATGATTACTGTGAGTTGGAAGTGACTGATAATCAGGTGTGTAAAGCGATCACTGCAAGCCAAGTGAGTGATTGGCCCATGAAGAATAAGCTCCTTGTTAGTAAGTTAAGTGTGAAATATGCTATCCTGCATAGAACTGGAGCTGCTAACTGGGTCCCTACCAATCATACCTCAACCATTATAGTTGGTTTAGGAAAATTCATCTATGCTATTGGAAATAAGAAGTTGTTTGATTATGGTGCTTTCATTTTTGAACAGACTGTAAAGCATGCAGGAACCTGTGCTATCAAGATGCCTATTTCCTTTCCATCTCTTATTTATGGAATTATTCTAAATCAGCATCCTAGAATTATGTGTGGCACTGATGTTATTTGCAAAAGGGAGTCTGCCTTGTCCCTTCACTTCAAGTTGTTTTCAGGTAAACATGTCTCAGACATTTTCTTGACATCTGAAAACAAGACCTCAAGCAAGGATGATATGATTACTAAGTTAATATAAGCCTGCAAAGAACTTGATGAGGTAATCGAAGTTAGCTCAGTAAGAAAGCTAAAATTTGAAAAGCTGATCAAGGAGCTGCAGAAGGATAACAATCTTGATGATAGGGTGGGTACTGAAGGAGGAGATTCTGATAATGAAGGAAGTTTTGAAGTTGCCAAGTCTACTGGTCCAGAAGACAGTGAGGCTCTGTGCTGGTGCCTTCTTTTTGTTTTTTTTGTTTTTTTTTGTTTTGGGTTTTGATTCCTATGTTCTTTTTCTTTAGAACTTGTATGTGCTTAATACTTGGATATTCTGGTCTGTACTCCTATTTTCTACTGCTCTCTTGAACGCAAATTTATTTTGCATATTATGTCTAAAAAGGGGGAGAGAAACTGACTGACTGTCTGCTGACTAGTAAGTTTGAGGGGGAGCTTCATGTCTCAGAAGATGTCCTGACATATTCCACTGCTAACTGCTAACTGAGTTTCTTTTGCTTGTGTTGCTGCTCTGATAATGTGCTCAAATAATGTTTTAGCCAAAATTTACCAAAGAGGGAGTTTGTAAGTTTTTGTTGGCAGCAATTTTGATAAAACACTGTGTTGGTAATTTTTTGCTTAATGTCTTGACATTTGAAGTAAATCATCTCAACTGATTTTGAATGACGTCAAAGCAGATGTCTAAACATCTGCCTTCTGATCTGAACGTATTTTTCAGATTTTTCTGTTTCCTATTTTTAAGCGCGCCTTATTCAGGTTTTATGGTTTATAACTTGCGAAAAATATGGAGGAATATTTTTCGATCTGTCTTATCTTTATGGATTATATCTTGGCTTACTTTAATTGAGATATTCAAGAGATTCAATATATTGCAATATTTGTTTTTCATCCCAAGTCCATAAAGAAGCTGATGCACCTTTATAAGGACTTGCAACCTTATTCGTAAAACAAGCAACAATTGAAGAAAAATATATTCTTGGTGTTTAAAAGTATGAATCTTTTAATTGTAATACACTCTAGTATTGTTTCAATACTTGAGTTGTAATTTGTTAGTTGAGTTGTAAATTGTGGATCATTCATAAGCTTTTAAGTATTGAATGATTGAATTTTTTCAAACTTAATAATTCTGTTGTTTTTCACTGTTAGTGATTGAAGGGATTTGAGGAGGGTTTCATACCTAGGTTTGTCTTAGGTAGAAGTATAGCACGGATAGTGATTAAGTGATTAGATTGTAAGCTGGCTGTTTACTGAGGGTCTATGGATTGATACTATTTAGTGGACTTATCTCTGGCTTGGTAGCCCCTAGAGTAGGTGTTGTTGTACACCGAACTAGATTAACAATCCCTTGTGTTTTTACTGCTTTTATATTGTTGCATTTTATATTGTCCTCAGATATTTGTGCCGTGACATCTCCTTCGACATCACATATCTGATACCAGAATTTCAATTTCCAAATTTTTTGTTGCTTTCTGTTTTACCGCTCCAACAGTCTTACATAGTTTTCATTGGAAAAGAAAAGCCTTCTTTTTTTCCTTTAATGGATTGTACATCCTGACTACACAATCAGAACTTGATTCTTCGATCCAAAACTTAAATTCATAAAAAATTAACACCTAATGACCCTTTTCTCACTAGATCTCATATTCTAAAAGAGTTGAGAAACACACATAAGAATTGTAATTTGCTGGAGGTTGAAATTGAATGCTTTCAAATGAAATTTCATAAAACAATGCTTAAGAGCACACGAAACCAAAATGAACAAAAGTTCTTCTTAAAATTTGATTTGAGAAAGAGAGATTTTGAGTGACTGACAAAATTCAAAAAATGGTTTTTCAAAAGTTGTGAATTAGTTATACTAGAGAGAGAATTTTTGTGATTATATATGTGTTGAAGTTAATGCACTAAAAATGAGTAAAGCAACCCTAATAATTCAAGTCAAGAGTAAATATTTTGATTAGAGTTAAATGAGTGAATTATTTGAATCAAGAATATAAAACTCAAACTTTGCACCTTTGATTCGAGTCAATGAAATCCTTAATTTGAATCACAAAACTAGCCAGAAACTCTAGATTGTGAAGCTTATCTATGATTCAATCAGACTTTTATGTGTTTAAAATCAATCTCTTACCTCATTCAAATAAGAGGTTCTTGTGATTTAAATTAAACTCTTACTTCATTCGGATTAAGGAATCTTATGATTTAAAATACACTTCTAAAAACAAATTCTAATTTACACATTCATATCATGATTCGAGTCGCACATTATTCTGATTCCAATAATGCTTTGAGAATCATGTTTACAAATATTTTAATTTATTGTTTTAACCCATAAAGAAATTACCCAAACTCCACTATTATCTTCGCACAACAAAAGTAACATTAAGAATAATAATTATGCTTTTGAAAATATAAAATTAACAACAAAATTTAAATTAAAACATGGATGAATATTAAATCAATTTAGTTAAAGTTAGATTTATTCTTCAAATTTATTGGATATTGGCTTGGTTGTTTTTTTTTTTGTTGATAAATTCAGGAATTTTACTATATCAAAACAATTATCATTGAGACTAAACATGTACTAACTATTATCATTGAGACTAATTTTCTTAGTTTCTAAATGAACTATCCTACTTATGACCTCCTGTTGAATATTTTCCACAAACCAATTTGAAGACTTGAGAGCTTGTTGTCATAGGACCTCATTCCTTCTCTTCTAAATATGACACATAATAGTATTCAAAGTAGCAGCATAGACTCTTGTCTTGAACTTACTCACTTTGCTCCTACCAATCCACTTAATGATATCTTGCTGATTTGTGGCTTCCAGATTCCAATGTAACTAACTCTTAATCTGCTTCCAGCATTGATTACTATAACTATACTCAAAGAAAAGGTCTTGTGATTTTCCTGATGGTCTCCACAAAGTAAACAAGTCTCTGTGTCAATTATTCCTATTTTCTTCAACTTGTCTCTAGTTTTCAGCCTTTCTTGCACTATCTACTGCACATCTAGCTTTTCAGCTATTTCCTTTATGCTATAACTTCTAGTAATGAAGTTATTCAGATTGATTTTCTCCTTCAGGTTGTCCTTAGCTTCCACAATTTTTCTCCAATACCAACTACTTTGATTATTAACCTCATAATTCCACCAGTTGTCATTTCCTATGTATACGTGATGAATCCACTTCACCCATAGGTTCTCTTTATTAGTAGCAATAGCCCACACATGCCATTAACTAGAATGAGAATTTCTTTATTTCCTATGTTTTTTTTTTAGAGATCTTTACTGAAGACCCAAAAATATTCCGAACGGATGTTTATTCCACAAAAAATTATGAAAAAAATATTTCTGAATATATATTTTTGAATAATTTTTTTTTTAACGAAAAAATGGTTTTAGATATGTATTTTCGAATTTTAGTTTGTTATAAAAAATACAAAATACAACTAAAAATCAAATAAAATTAAATTAAGTATTTACAAATTTTTTCGTATTTTTTCGAAAATATGAAAACATAAAATAAATTAAATAAAATAGAAAACAAGGAATTTGGGGTGGGGGTCTCAAAATAGGAGATTTTGATCCTGATTTTTTTCGGATGAATTGACACGGTAAAATTTTAATTCAGAATCGATTTTCTAGATAACTGATTTTTTTCACTTTAGGTCGCATAAAAGCTAGAGACACATGAACGCAAGGTTCAGAACACCGAGATTATTTAGTTACATTTTATTTTGTTATAAAATATACCAATTAATACAATTGATACATCTTAATTCAAATTAATATAAATATTAAAATATTTTAGATATATATATTTGAAAATTCCCTAAAAATGAAATATTGAAATAATTCGGATATCCATATCCAAAAATTCGTAAAACTAAATATTAGACGCGTTCAAATATGCACATTCAAAAAATAATTTAAAATTTTCAAAAATTTAACATATAAGTAGAGAAAGAAATTATCAATTAGAATTGTTTTGGGCCGAATAAGCGAAAATACTCTATTCTGACCCAACCCGTTTAACGTATATAACACATCATCGTTGAAATGGTAAAAACGATTTCAATTTTAGGGTTTCTTCGTTTTTTCACTATCGGATAGCTGCGCTTGGATCATAGAAATGGGTAAGGATGTGAATTTCGATTCAGTAATCTCGAAAAGTTTCCAACCTTGCTTTCGATAGCACAAGTGTTGACAGTGATATCGCAGAAGCAGAAAGCGGCTCTTAGAGAGGTTTACAAGAATAAGAAGTATTTGCCACTTGATCTTCGTACCAAGAAACCCGTGCCATTCGAAGACGCCTTACCAAACATCAGGTAGGATAGTTCTTACAATGGATTTGCATAATTGCTTGATGATGCTGCATCCCTTTATTCTTGGGTTCTAGTACACTTTAGATTTTGGTTATTGCTACAAAAAGCGGGCTGTGCTGTGATTCTTCAACATTTGATAATTTTGATGAAGTGCTGTGGATCTAGCCTCAATTGTTGTTGCATTGCAGAGATATTAAAACTAGGATGGTTTGACCTCATGTCATAGTGAACCTTTTATTTAAAACCTTGATTGGAGTATCTCATTTGGGCTTTGATTGAATATCATAAAATGAACCAAGATTCCATTTCATCATTTGAAAATTTAGGATGGAACAAGGTAAATTTTTTGTTCCACCCAAATCGGAGTGGGAAGAAATCTGGTCGCCAGTGATGGAATTAAATTCATACGACTCCATTACGGTCCGCTACATCCAATTTTGAATGAGCCAATCAATGGAATACCGTTACATTCCCTTCCATACCGCTTTGCACCATCCAATTCCGTCAATCCAAACAAAGTCGACCTTGGTGTTCTGCATGTAATTTTTCTTGATCATTTGTTTTGTTGGTGGTTTTGCTTCCTCCTTACCTTAGTCTTGATTGGTGCAGGCATCATTGAAGACGGAACGTGAGAAGGAGACATACTTTCCATTAAGAAAGTATGCAATCAAGGCATAGGCTAGGATTGCATTCTAGTTGCATTTGTATAATTGTCGTTTAAAATATTGAAACTTGGTTTGATTAATTAACTTTATTTGCGTTCCAATTTTTGTTCTAGTCAATTTTTTGGTTTCCATTATAGTTTTTGTACACAAGTAATCTATCTTAAAAAAAATTCCCAAGATTGACGATAAAATTATTCCCTCCGGTCCTTATTATACAGGAAAGTTCACACATTAATCATATTTTCTTTAATATATTGACAAATATTTGTTGTCTTCTGTATTAATGTGATAAATTTTTGTTTTTAATATTTATTAGTGATAATTATATGTCCCACATTTTATGAATCAGAAAGTATGTCTGTAACTTTTTTTAAAAATACTTGTAAGTAATAAATGTCTTTTTCTCCAAGTTTTTTTAGTTTAAATTAGGCTTAATTGAAATTTTTGCTGTATTTAATTGATGTTCAGAATGGTGGCAAAACTATGTTTCCGTTTGAGGTAATATCAAGTTCATTTGCTAAATCTTGTTTGATCCACGCCTCAATATCACTGCTTTCCTCCATAGTTAGCTCACTATTAAGCTAAATTTTAAGAAGAATGTGTTAGTGTCATGATAATAAGTATATTTTTGTAAATTGTAATCATCTTCTACATATATGGTTATAGATTAATGGTAAATGTAATGTTTCTTTACATTATGAATTTATGTAGCATTATTATTATTTTTTAAATTTGTGTTAACATTTTTAGGTCTCACCACATCTGTAGTTTTAATGAATTTCTTAAATCCTCATAACCACGTATCTGGACTTCACAATTAGCACAATATTTGTTCCGCACAATGGCTTGAACATGGATGATAGCTATGGCTATGAAGACTGCATTGGTTTAAAAGTGAAGCCAAGACAGGGAGACGAGCTTCGGTTTCTTCTTAAATAGTATATATTAATTTTGCTACAAATTGTCTAACAAACTATAGTGACGCAGATGGTGTGAAACTCAACCGTCATTTTAAAATTGTCTAATCGCACAATACATGCTTTATATTACATGCTTTATATTTGACATTAAATATTATTGACGTGGCATGTTCAGGATTATTGTTGTATTTTTTAATTTTATAATTAACTTAATATAATCATTCCATACATTATATTGGACTTGAAACTGAAAAGGACAGCCGACAATTTTTTTTGCATTTTTATACTATTTTTATTCTACTAATTATTCAACTAATTGCACTTATCACGTTTCTGTTGCAACATTTATACAGGCAGATGAATATGAACAGGCAGTCGAAATATTGAGTTCTTGGAATAATACACTCACGATTTGCGACCCAAAAAATCCTCTCCCAAGATGTAACAATTTGATTTTTAGCCAAAAAATCCTTCTTTGTCGTAAAACTTTTCATATATTCACTAAACCCTAATTTCTTATCGTCACATCTTTCTTCTCTTTAAACATTTGGCTCTGCTATCATTCACGCTGCGGATGTAAGAACAAAAAGCAGAGGAACCCAGCCACGTCATTAGCATGTTTCCAACGATGAATATGTGGTGACTACACTGTTACTCTTCGTTCCTTTGTAGATTTCTCTATTGTTTTTATTTTAGATTCACTTTGTCTTTGCGTTCAATTTTGGTATGAACAATTCAATAAGTTGTTCAGGCAATTGGTTTATAAATTGTTGAAATTGATTTTATATAAGGTACTTGAATAGGGTGTTTTAATGCTTGAAAACATGTTTTGTATATATATGAAATTAACATATCATAGTCTGTTCAGATCTTATTATTATTTTGGGTTTAACAATTACTTGAATTTGTTTCTTAATAATTACTATATATGCATCTGCTTTTGATCTGGTACTTTCGAAAGCACAACTGTTGCAAACTGGAGTATCTGGATGCTTACAGCTTGATTTGAAGGTATGAGTAATGGGTTTGTTCGTTTACATTGCATGTTGAATCTTAAAAAGTTGTTGATAATAGTTTCGTGTTTTATTTCCATGTTGCTTGATTCGAAGATATGAGTAAAGGGTTTGTTTGTTTACATTATAGGGGAACCTTACACAATGCTCTAAATAGAGGATTAGCAGCTGCTTATGCAGGATTGTTGACATTTTTTGTTGAGTATCTTGCAGATCTATTGAGTTTGCTCAAGCTCCACAAAAAACTGAAAGTGAAGGTAACAACAAGCATAATGCGACTTCTATTGAGTTTGCTTGATTCGAAGATATGGTTGTATTTTTGTTTGATGGTCTGTTTTCAATCCATGATATATGTTTTTATTGTTTGAGTTGTTGTTGCAATGATTCATCATGATCTACTGCATCGTAAATAGTTTTGATTCTAACAAGTTGAATCAATTTTCGATTACTTCTGGTGGGGAGGAAAGTGATATTAAAGACAAAATAAACTCTGCAGACTTTTAGGTTATTAGCATGAAAAGAAACAAAGTTAAAAGAAAGGGGATTTAGAAAGGTGAAAATGATAAAATCGAACCAACAACATATCTATACAGAAGATCATTCTTTAAAACCCCAAAATACTATGTTAGTTTGTATTCGGATGCCAAGAGAAGAGGAGAACCATACCAATTTGGCAAAGTCGCAATGCATATAACAATACTGCTAGACCCATTTCTCAATCACCTGATTCTAGAAACCATGTTTTCTTGATGCCTGCAACTAACCTTAGTATGGGAGTGGTCTTATGGAATGCATCTTATGCTAGTAAAATTTGCTATAAATGCAAGTAAAACAATCTAACATATTAGCATCTTGCTTGCAGTGAAAAATCATTGAAACTACTTATAACACATTGGAGAATCTCAAGGCCTAATGCTTCTAATGTGTTCACTATTAATAGTAATAACCTGACTTTATGGAAGAACTGATGATAACCGTCGTGTCTTGATCTCTCCTCCCAACATTAAACAAAGTAACCCTGCAAATCAAGCAACGTCAAAGTCAGTATGGTTAAAATTAAATGCATGATATTAAAAAACTCTTATCTTTACTCAAAATAAGCATACATCAATCAAAAAACAAAAACAACGATCGAAGCCACTTTGTCCGCACAAATATTTCATAAGAAATGCCCTTTGAATTATGTTCTTGTCTCAAAAGGAGATATATCACAAACCTAAATGAAGAAGAAAAACCATGTTATCATAAAGTTCGGCGAGACGATCCATTTTTCCAAATAGCTTGTATTTATTTAACATCAGCTGACAAAAACATGGAACATAGTACAAAGTAACCTTCAAGCTCCATGTCCAAGTCAGCCATGTTGTACACAATTTAAATGCCATGCAAACTAGAAAGATCCGAGACTTGAAAAAAATACAGTTTCAATGAATCCCTAACTAAAAATCAACACGATTCAGAGAAGCAAAAAATCATTGCTAGTGACCACTTCACCAGCATTGGAAAGAATGCTACTGCAATTCCAACCACGGTCCAAACACGGTCAACGTCTAATTGAGAGCATTAGGCCCGTAGTATATGAAGTCCAAGAAACCTATTCCTTTTAAGAGTCCCTTACCTGTTAAAAGTTTAAAATCCAACAACAGAAGGATATCAAGTTACCTCACGCAAGTGAATATCAAGTTATACTATTTGAAAATGATGACAAATTAATTATTGCATCATGGCTATCCGGTATCTTGCACAACTTTGCAAAACCTTGTTCTATACACCTGCAACTTCCACAAGAAGTTCCAAAGAAATCCACCACAATCAGAGTTTCAGTTCCTTTAGACTTTTCTAGAATTCTTGCAACAAACAGTCTTGTCGCCAGTTGCACCTCTTCTTATACGCTTGCGATTATGATGAGCAATATTTATCCACCAATCTGCTTTTGCTTTCACATATTGAAGGACCATGTTCTCTACAAGAACATGAAGAGAAGAAACCTACACGTTTCCACTGTAAGTAAGTAAACAATAAAGCCATGAATGAACCAAATTCAAAAGGAAATCGATAAGCATTTTAAATCCAAAATAACCTTTTTCGGGCTACAACGTCTAAATTTAATTTCAGAAACAAATTGGAAACAATCATCTCATTGTTAATTGAGCCTTAATAGGTATATCACCTATAACAGTAAACAAAAGTGAAAGGGTGATGCTTACATGAGTGTATGAGAAATCACATGCAAATAATACATATAAAGTTAGCCCTTCGAAATCGGATTATATATAAACCACACAAAAATTACAAGAAAAAAACTGCAAAAGGAGATTCTCAATTATAAATCATACAGAAAAATTCAAATTCCTTCAATAAAATCAGCACCCATAAACGATCATGCAACACAATACAGAACCTCAACAAACTAATTAACCAAAGCAACTCAATACACAGATTCAAAAACTACAATCATAATCTAAAAAAGTAACACTCACTAAATCACTTAAAAACATATGCATCAAATAAAAAATAAAAACTAATGAATAAAAAAGGGGAAAAATCAATGAAATCGTAAGAAAAAAACCTGATCAGACTAACGATAATCATCATCGCTGCTGCCGTAATCCTTCATCGGAATCGCCGTAAATGCTTGGAAACAAATGGATTTTAGAGAGAAATAGTGATTGAGAGAAATAGAGAAAAAGTTAGGGAAAATTAGGGTTTTCGAGATTTGATCAATTAAGCGATCGTAAAGAACGAAAAATCAGACGAGAAAAAAAGAAGGTTGTACTCTTAACATAGATGACTTAGAATCACGCATAGCCATGAGAGTTGCCATATCACAAATGTTTCATGGAAGATGCAGATGAAAAAGAAGAAGAAAGATGAAGGACACGAAACTGTAAAAGCATGAAATCTTGTAACTGATATGGGTAAGAAACAAAATCGTGAAACTGTTACGAAAGAAATAAATACAGAAGGAAATAATTATTTGAGATATATATATTCCTGTCAACTTACAAGAAGAAAGATAATATAATATTTAATATTTTTGAATAACAACTGAATTATAATAAATTTTAAAATTTTAAAAGTGTATTGATAATTCTCAAGTTAGAAAAACGTCGGGAGAGAATAATGAGATTAATCAAGACGTAGAAAATTTAAATTTTCATTATAGTTTTATTGTAGAATATTAAAAAATAAAATTATTTTTTATTATTATTTTAGATTAATATAACTAAATTCAAAATTACAATATTATTATTTTATGTATCACGTTAAATTTTATTATAAAATTAATATATAAATTTAATATATTTTGATTCTATCTTAAAATTTTTATATATATTATAATTGTTTTACATATTTTTCTTAGTATATTTTTTATCAAAAATTAATTTAATAATGTAATATAATAAGATAAAAAAATCATAAATTTCTTATAAGAATGTCATTTTATGTCATTATGTATTTATCATCTAATGTAACAACTAATTTATATTACTAAAAATATGAAATTTGAGAAAAAAGTCTTTATATCAGGTATAAAAATATATGATGTGAAAAATATTTGTCAAAAGATTTTACGTCAGATCTTTATTTCCAATTATATAAAAAATATTTGATTTAAGGAAAAATGTAACACGACGGCGGTTTGGTAAATAAAATGCAATTTTGTTATAAAGGATTTCACATTGGATCTAGATTTGCCCCCGATGTGAAAAGTACAATTATTAAAAAAATAAAAGCACGGTGACAGTTTGGTAAATAAAAGAATTTTTGTTATAAAAGGCCTTTACATCGGGCCAATTGCTCCACTGATGTAAAAAACATTAAAAATGGCCTTTACATCGGGCCTTAGTTACAATCGATGTAAAATAGTTTGGCCTTTACATCGGGCCCTAGGCCCAAACCGATGTAAAAAAGACGCCTTTTATTAAAAAAACCCTAACATTCCTATCTGCGCCGCATTCGCAAACGCACTTCATCTTTCTCACTTTCATCTCTCCCACTGCTATTCCATTCTTGCTTCCTTTCCACTGCCTCTTCTCATAAATCGCAGACACCCTCCATAACTTCCGAACCATCCTTCGCCGATACCATAGACACCCTCCACCGAATTACCTTCGTCGGTACCGCAAACACCCTCCGCAACTTTCGAACTACCCTTTGCCGGTACCACAGACGCCCTTCGCTGAATCACCTTAACATGGAAACGAACCGCAACTTCTGAACCGCAGACACCCTCTGTCGATTCAGCTTCACGAAAACTTTGAGTCCGAAATTTTTTTATAAGGTAATTTATTATTTCTGATTCAAATTTTGTAGTATGGTTGTTAGGTTGTGAATTCATAACTAGAAAATTTATGCAAATTTATGTTGCATTATTTTACAATAAAATGTTGATATTTTACAAAAAAAATCATGTTGAAATTGTTTTGTTGGGATTTGTGAGAGAGGGTTCGGAGAAGATATACGAGAACAACACTCACAACTTCACAATCATTTTAGTGGAAGAAATAACAAATGAATGAATTGTCCATACTTAAAAATAGTTTGATTCTCTTTCTTGGTATTTCTCTTACCGTTGCCTCTAAACAAGAAGTGTGAATGATTTTTCTTTAGTTCATTTAAGTCGAGTTTGAATGATGAAGATTGGTTTTGTTTGGATTTGATTCTCTTTGGTTTCAACTTATTTTTACATTGAATTATAGAGCCTTTTTGTACATATGTCATGGCTTCCCGGTTACTAATAACATGAAAAAACTTGGTTCAAATGTTGTTGTTTTTTTTGCATATTTTTTGAATGAGATTGTAAAGTACGAACATTCTTAGAGTTTGAATGATGAAGGAAAGTACGGACATGTAATTAGAGTTTATAAAGTAGTGTATTTTATTGAACTACATATTATTAGAGTTTATAAGTATGCTATTGAACTACATATTAACAAGTAAAGAATGTTAAAAATTATGAATTATTAAAAAAGTATATTAAAAATAAAATTTCTAATGATTTAACTTTGTACGCATTAATTTCAGAACATAAGTATGGATCGTAATTGGATGAGAGCTAATCGATTAAGTGTTGAGTATGAATATGGAGTGAAGGAATTTCTACAATTTGCTGAAAATAATGCTAAAAAAAATCTTTCTCCTCCTACTAAAAGTAATGCTCAAAAAAGTCTTTATGCACTTTTTCTCTGTCCATGTGTTCGTTGTGAAAATCAAGAACCAAAATTTAGTAAGAAAAAAATCATGGATCATCTAATCTGTGTAGGGATTTGTTAAAGTTATACACAATGGATATGACTGATACACATTTGGAAATGGAGTTAAGTCATTGTGTGACTGTCACTAATTTCTACATGCCAACTAAGTGTATCAGAGAGTTGTTGGTGGATTTTCATTGGCTTGACGTGTCTACTTTGTAAGTTTGGTGCATGTAAGTATATTTTCTTTTTTTATTACTGTCAATATCTATTAATATGTTATATCTCTCATCACTTTGATTCTGAAGTTTATTTTAAAATTATTCAGATATATTCATCTTGTATGTATTGATAATTCCACATTAGAAGTATATGGATTTGTGGATCCTGCTAAGTGTATGCATGTTGATAATGTGCCAAAATCTAAAGCAGATGTTAAAAAATACATACTAGATAAGTTACGTGACGAAAACAGAGTATGTCACTTACTACCATTAGTTCATAAGTAAATTTTATGAAAATGTGTTTTCTATTTTTTAATTTTGATAACGTAGATATTCCATGTGACTTTTGTGTTTCCACACACACGTACAAATCTCATTGGCAATTAATAGTCATTTGTCCAAGAGACAATATTCTGGTCGTCTTTTATTCACTTCATCGGGAAGTTGATCAAATCACGAAGAAAATTGTTACAAAGTAAATTTGTCTTTTATGTGACTTTTGTTATAATATATTATATATGTCCTATATACATAAATTATTACAAAAGTAATTTCATATTTATGTGGCTTTATATGAATTTTTTTTTCTTCTGAATTAGTGCTTTTGGGGTTCATCAAATGGCAAATAGAAATAGAAAAAAGACTACATGACTTCATCTAAATATAAGTGTGATGTAAATTATAATTCTATATTTAATTTAATTATAAGTATTCACTAATTATGTCATTCATTTGTAGATAATGCTACAACATAACTCTAATGATTGTGGATACTATATGATGAAAAATATGTCGGATATTGTCTCTGCCAATATAACCGAGTCTTGGATGCAGTTAATAAAAATAAATCTGTTATTTACTTTGTGTTTTGCAACTTAATGTGAATTTTCAAAGAATAACTCTATATTGTTATTTACGTATTACAGGTATTTGATAATCTAACAAAATTAACACAAGATAATTTGTATGATTTACGACTCCGTTGGACAAAATAGTTCTTTAATTTATATAAAAATTAAGCCTTCTCTGGTGAGTTATATATATATATATATATATATATATATATATATATTTGAGTTTCTTGACTCTGGTGTTGTCTGCTGATTTTAATTGGTGTTACTATTTATTGTCGGCAAATATGATTTTGGTGTTGTCTATTGAAGCTACAACTCATCTTCTTGTGGATTGCATGTTGGTATTTCAAGTGTGAGAAAAGACTTATAAATGGTTGAATATTTTTGTATAATTTCACTGGTTTTGTTGTTGTAGTAGTCCACTGTGTGTAAACTTCCTTATAATTTTGTACATTTGTGTATATCCTAGATTAGTACTTTTATAAATCAATTGTTCATTTTGAAGAATATATATGTGCATCCTAGCTATTTGGTGCAATGAAATTCCCCTCACTCTTTAGAAAAATATGAAAATAGCGACCTAAATATGACCTGTGTGATATAGGAGAAATATGAAAAATAACGACCTAAATGTAGTTTGTGTGATGTTGGAAAAATATGAAAAATTAGATACAAAAAAATTACAGGGAATCCACCTCGTTTCCGCTAAAAAATAGCAAACATATTACATCGGGCCATTGAGACAACTGATGTAAAAACCCATATATTACATCGGGTCGTTGAGGCAACCGATGTAAAAACTGATATATTACATCGGGCCATTATGTAACTGATGTTAAATATTGCCTTTTTTTAAAATTGTATTTTTTTTCACATCAGACTTATCATTAAACCGATGTGGTATGTGGATTTTTTACATCGGGATGTTGCTCGATGTAAAATGTCTTTGTTTTACTACATCGCTTGGATTTACATCGGACCCAGGCCCGATGTAAAATGTACTTTTCGCCCGATGTAAAAACTATTTTCTGCACTAGTGTTACCAAACACTTAAATTAACGTATCAGTTACTAGTCATCAGCCACCAGCTATAATTGACTAACTATCAACTATCAACTATCAGTCATCAGCTAACAACTACCAACTATCAACTAGTTTTACCAAAAAGAGTCTTAAGCCTTAATGGTTTCAACTTTAATGCTACCAATCTTTTTCGTCATAATTTTTTTGCCTTAAGCTCCTTTCCTCTTTGTCATAATGGCGGGAGGTTTGTTGGCTTTGGTTAAAAAGATCTTTGGAGATAGGAGAATTCTCGGGTTTCAACATAAACGGCCTGTGTAATATTGATATTCTTCAATATCCAGATGACACGATTATGGTGGATGGTGGTTCTTGGAAGCACTTTTGGGCTATTAAGTTTGTGTTAAGAGGCTTCGAGTTAACTTCGGGCCTTGGTATCAATTTTCATAAGAGTAAGTTAATCGACATCAATATTAGCCATAATTTTTTGGAGGCGGATGCCAATTTTCTTGCGTGTAGGACGGAAGACAGAGCTTTTACTTTCCTTGGCATTCCTATATGCTTTAACCTGAGGAGAATTTCTTTTTGGATACCTTTAATGACTAAATTGAAGAATCGTTTGTTGTGTTGGAGGATTCGATTTCTTAGCTTCAGAGGGAGGATCACTCTTCTTAAATCAGTTCTTTGTAGCCTCTCCATTTTTATTCTTTCCTTTTACAAAGCTCCAGTGAAAATTCGCAATGAAATTATTAAGATTCAAAGTGATTTTCTTTGAGGAGGTACGGGGGACCGTAGAAGAATTCATTAGATGAGTTGGAGGGATGTTTCCACTCCAATTGATAAAGGTGGGTTGAGTTTGAAATGGTTCAAAGACTTCAATCTTGCGTTTATTCTCAAATGGAGGTGGAGAATATTGGAAGGATTATAACTCTTTCATTTAAGATTCTTAAAGCTCGTTACGGGGATATTAGAATGAAGATTATTGTTCTGGGAAATTTCCTCAAATCGAGGGAGTCTAAATCGGGGTGGTGGTCAGACCTTTTATCTATTCTCAGAAAGTGACTATTTGATTCGTTCATTGATAATTGCAGGTTCTTTATAGGTAATATGCTATCTACTGCCTTTTGGCATGCTTGTTGGCTCAGTAACAACAGCTTGGGGGACAGTTGGGACAGTTTTCCGCGTATGTTTGCGGCGTCGTATTTATAGGACGTTGTCGTTGATGGTATGGGCGGATGAAATAAAGGTGTTTGGTCCGGGGGCAACTTCAGGGTTACGGATCAGTCTGTTCCGGCTATGGCAGTGGACCTGCTTAGGGTGTGTCTCATTTTGCAGTTGGTTGCTCTTGTCATGGACATACATGATTCTATTGTTTGGAGGAAAGTAGCGGTATTTTTTCGGTAAGTTCTGCCTATGATATGCTTAGTGATCGGGACTTTATAAGTCTGTCGGGATACTAACTGCAAGTATACAGTTCAGTCGTTCTAGTTTTAAAAGATTATCGAACCTACAGAGACTGAGGATCAATCGCATACGATCTAATGCTACAGTTTATCTAACTAAGCGATGAATATTCGATTTTTGAGGGAAACAGTTTAATTAAAAATAATAGTACTAATTATACCGGTATGTGATAATCGGACTTAGGGAATTCGGTGAATCGTTTGGTCTATAAAGTATTTCGGTAAAAGCTAATTGTTTAAAAACCTGAGACATACACTCTCGTGTTTATGAAATAAGTCATGCTACTAAACCTAGTGGATGCACTTTAAATTTAATA